GATGGTGGAACATCTTTCCACATCTGATGGTGGAACATCTTTCTATGGCTGATGGTGGAACAGCTTTCGACAGCTGATGAGCAGAGGGGAAAAGTCTGAAAACATGGAGATAGTTCAACATCTGCAGGACGAGGAGACGACATGAGCTCCAGGTTTTAACATCTGGAAACATGTTGGTTCCAGGTTTTTGCATTTTTGTAAAATTAAGAATCAAAGAAAGGTTTATTTTCTCTGGTCTCCGTGGTTCTGAGTCCTGCTGACAGAAGACGTCTCTGAATTCTCTCTCCTCCTTCATGGTTCTGGTTCCACAGAGCTGCAGGACTTTATGTTGCAGAGAAACAAGAACCTCAGTGAAGGAACATGAGACAGGAGATTAAACACCCAGAAACTACTGCAAGTGCAGATGTATATAAAGATGTGATGATCAGCAGGTGTCACAGTGATGACTTGTTGCCTTTACAGGCTTCAGGTGCGTCTGTTTCTGTAAAACTGACTCACATCCACAGAAGAGAACGCTTGAAACTGCACACAGTTTAAATATTGTTCTGAAGCTGTCGATCAGCTGAAATCACATTTGTGGTTGTTTCTGCAGCGGTGACGGACCGGCTGGTTACCTTCAGCGATCTTCAGAACGTGCACACTGATCTCACAGGTACACCTGAGCTGTTCGTATGTGACTGTTGTTGTTGGATCGTCATCACCTGCACCTGTAACACGTGAACACCTGTAACTCCGACTCCATAGAAACAGACTTTAGACGAACTCAGGCACCTGTTTTATGTTGCTTTGTTACACATATACGTGTAATAATAAACTTCACCTATCCTGCACTGTATAATGTCACCTGAGTCACATGACATCACCTGTGTCTCCTGATCTGAGACACCTGTTGTGAAATAACCTAATAAATAATCGTGATAATGATGTCATCAGGTGGGGCGGAGTCAGTGACTGGTCTCCAGATCGACCTCACAGGTGAGACATATCTACAGATTAGTCAATCACTGTATTGACAATCGTTGGTGAAACTGACTGTGCGTTCTGATTGGTGGTTCCAGCGTCAGGTCTCGGATTCAGCCGTGATGTCACAGGTAGGACTCGTTACTATAACAACCGCAACTCCACCCCCCCAACATGAGATATCTGTCTCAACATCCCTTCCTGTCACATGATCCTGTGTTACAGAGTCATCGCCAATCATCCTTCACACAGAGTCTGTGGGCGGAGTCACGCTGAACCCAGGTACACCTGTCTGAAACACACCTGTTGATCCGTGCACCTGTCTGACACTTATCCTGTTGTTTTTGTGTCAGTTTCAGGTGTTTACTCTCACACAGACCTGGTTACCATGGCGACAGACTCCATAGGAACAGACACAGGTAAGTCCTGCCCTCCACCACAGCCTCCAGGTGAGGGTCAAAGGTCAGGTGTGTTAAATTGTGTGTGTTTCAGTTGCAGCAGATCCAACAGGAGCGCCATTCGACTCCAGTAAGTTACACTCATTTACACAGCAGAAGAGGAAGTGTCACCGTCTTCTGCTGCTGCAGAAATGTGTGTGTGTGTTCATACACACTGAATACACACTGTGTGTGTTTGTTAACAGGTCATCCAGCTGTGACGGATCACACACAGATGGCTGGTAAGTTTTACAGATGTTCACACCATGGAAATCCAGTCTGAAACCAGTTAACAAACCGGTCTGAAACTGGTCTTGGTTCTGGTTCTGCTGTTCGTGTGTGCTCTCAGATCAGGTGCTGAAGGGTTGTTCTTTCTGTCTTCTTGGTTCTGCTTGTTCTCTGCAGGTCCAGTCACTGAACAGTACCACCCATCTGGTCAGGGTCCTGAAGGTTTGTAACTCTCTGACTCTGTTTTTAACTTCTTTGATCCCTCATCAGGGAAATGTATAAATTTACCTTCTGTGTCAAAGTGAAAACAGATTTCTTACACAGGGGTCATGAGTGAACAGAACTTTAAGTCCAGACATTAACTCTCAGCTGGACTGAGGTCTGGACTCTGACTGGGCCTCCAGAACTTCACCTTGTTGTCTTCAAACCATTTCTGTGGAGCTTTGATTGTTTGCTTCGGCTCATGGTCTGGATGGAAAACAAGTCTTCTCCACGTCTCAGTTCTCCTGCATCAGGT